GTCTGTAACTTTCATGTCGAATGGAAGTAAAAATATATCAGATGATAATCAAGAGGCTTATGAGAGCCTGATATCGCTCACCTGTAATTTCAGTTTCAGGCATTTGACTTTTTGTAGATCTTACTTTGCTGAACAATTTTGTCATTTACACCTTCTCTCTTTCTATAATAATATTAAAGATAATACATAACCCAAAACTGTAAAATTTCCTAAAAATTAACTATTTCCGGACAGTAACCCAACAATAAGTTGTCCTATTTGTGTGAAGATTACTTGACAGTAGATCTTAACACTTTCACCTATGTCAGTTTTGCTCTTACTGCTTTAGTTTTTGAGATGAAAGCCATAATCTTCATTTGACCCCTATGTTCTTTCTTTAGAAACTGTCGCCATGTTTTTTTAATGGATCAAATCCCAGAATACAATCTATAAACTAGATACCCTAAGGAACATTCAGTTAAAGTTTTTTAGTATTTGGCCAAGTAGTTTCAGAGGAAAGAAATTTTGAAAAAGTAATAGACTTTCACAAAAATTGTTAAAAAAAAACATATTAAGGGCAATAACTCCTTAAGAGGTCAATTTACTATTTTGATCATGTTGACTTATTTGTAGATCTTACTTAGCTGAACACTTATTGCCATTTATACTTTCTCTCTATTTATCATAATATTAAAGAAAATAACCAAAAACAGTAAAATTTAATAAAAATAAACTATGTCCAACAGTAACCCAACAATGGGTTGTCGAATTTGTCTGTAAATTTCATAACAGATAGATCATGACCAATTTATCACTTTAACTCCCATTCATGTTTGCTCTAACTGCTGTAGTTTTTGAGATATAAGCCTGATGGTTCAAAACTTCGGATACAATTTATAAACTAGATACACTAAGGAACATTCAGTTAAAGTTTGGAAGTATTTGGCCCTGTAGTTTCAGAGAAGAAGATTTTTTAAAAAGTAATAGACTTGCACGAAAAAATGTTAAAAAAAAACGTTTCAAGGGCAATAACTGCTTAAGTAGTCAATTGGCTATTTTGATCATTTAACTTGTTTGTAAATCCAACTTAGCTGGACATTTTTGCCATTTACACTTTCTCTCTATCTATTATAATATTAAAGATAATAACCAAAAACTGTAAAATTTCATAAAAAAAACCTATTTCGGACAGTTACCCAACAATGGGTGGTCCAATTGGTCTGAAAATTTCATAGAAGATAGGTCTTGGCTTATTCATCACTTTAACTACTGTAATTTTTGCTCTTACTGCTATTTTCTTTTTGTAGCCATGGCGGCAATGTTTGATGATGGATCAAAACCATGGATACAATTTATAAACTAGATACCTTAAGGAACATTCAGTTAAAGTTTGAAGATATTTGACTCAGTAGTTTCAGAGGAGAAAATTCTTGAAATAGTTTACAACGACGACGACGACAGACAGCGACAGACGACGACGACAACGACAATCGACGGACGACAACGGACGCCAAGTGATGACATAAGCTCACATGGGGCCCTTCGGGCCCAGTGAGCTAAAAATGGTATATCAACACGAGAAATACTGTGATTAGTATTGTAGTAGTCTCAAATTAGTGTAATAACTAATGTAGTAAAAACATATATAAACGTCAACACATAAAAGATGAATTGATACTCAAAAACTTATACTCACTAAATATCATCAAATAGGTAAAATTTTCTTTAGAATGAATATATTTTAGATGACATAATTATATCAAATAAATCTATCCGAAATCGCACATGTTTGCTTAAGTAGCAATTAACCCGACCGATACTAAGTTAAAAGCTGTTAACTTAGTAAATTGTTACAGGAAATGTGCAATATAGAAAGTGTTACGTAAAAAAATATATATCAGAGAACTGCGTTTTCAACTTTGGACCCTTTGATTTGTGGACAACTTGTGAATCTGCAATTACTTATCTGACATATATGTGTATTAAACTTGCTTTGAAAGGTTTTTTGAATGACTGAAAGGCAAAATGAAATAGAAAATTTGAATTTTCTGAAGGCTACTTGATGTAAGTTTACTAGTATAGTAATTTTACTATCAAAATGTCTTACTCTGTCAAATGAAAATTTTTAAGTGTTGAACATATTTTGAAACCAGGACAAATGTCAATACTGTTTTTTTTTTTATAAAACAGACTGCTATTTGGAAACCTATAGTGATGAATATGTATCCTTAGTCCGGTTTTCACTACTTGTAAACGTTATTTTTATGAATATTAATCCTTGGACTAAGAAAGAAAAAAAAGCAGTATATGCAAGTATTTTACACTTGTGTGAATTATATACTTTTTATTTTGCATATGAATACAGGGTATTTCTATTAAGAAATTACACCCTCAAATATTATGTCGTTTTTCTAAAGGAACGTAATATATTATCGATTAATTATTCATATATGTATTTCTCATTAATGCGTATACAATGATAAAGTAAAACATAGACACCATTAGGAAAAAAATAAATAGGTAAAGGTGCTTTAAGACATGCTAATTTGTTTGTGAGTGTAAACAATCAAACAATGCTATGAGCAGAACTGTACTTTTTTAATTTCATCAACTGTTTATTTTCTTTGTAAATCGCAGTAATAACTAAATAAAAGGTCAGGGTAATTGATCAATTATTAAATTATTACTGCGATTTAAAAAGACAAAATAATCATGGTATCTGACTCTTAAGTCATTTTGATAATTCATAAGGGTTGGCTTGTTATGCCAGCTCAAAAAAATTGTCATAGTTTCTTTTTGTTGGTTTGCTCTCTATGTTAATAACAGCAATAAATAAATAAAAGGACAAGGTAATTCATAGTATTTAACTCTAAAGTCATTTTGATGGTTCATAAGGGTTGGCTTGTTATAGCAGATGGCGTTATTTGTCTAGCCTTAATGGGATTATTTCATTCACAGAAGGGACTAGTTGTTTAAGTCAAACATAAAAAAATGAGGCTTGATGTACAAATGTTTTTTCTTTGTGTTTTCACATTCTCGAATTTAAGGGACCAAACACTCATCTTATTATATATCTTGTACCGTTTAATGTAATGATCTCAAAAGAAAATATCCCCCCTTAAATGTCGCTTTGGAATATTCCACTGTAAATAAACTCATGAGGATTAAAATTTTGTACCCCAGACGCACGATTCGTCTACAAAAGACTCGTCAGTGACGCTCGAATCAGAAAATTTAAAAGGCTAATTAAAGTACGAAGTTAAACAGCATTGAAGAAAAAGGGTTTTGCCAATACAGCTAAGGTAATCTATTCCTGGGGTAGAAAATCCTTAGTGTGTAATTTTGATAAAATTATTAAAATTAATTATTATCAATTTTCACCATCATAGTCTTTAAATTGTATTTTCCATCATGTTAAGGTTGATTACAACGAAAGATAAATGGTAATGAACTTAATATAATAGCTGTATGGTGCTGACCTAAGCCAGATCGAACAGCTTAGATTAGGAATATAGCAACACCCAAAATGCTTAAATTTGAACAAGTTTTTGTCAATTATAGAAAGTAAACAACGATCTCATAGGTAGTTTCTCAGAGCAGAAGTCCATAAAGCCTGACAAAATTAAACGTCAGACACTATAGACCAACTGAACGATATTTTTGTATAAATTATTGAGGACAAAGTCCTCATAACAATAGAAAAACAATAGGAAGAAAAATCTTTGTAAAAATTAATATACATGTACTAGTGAATCCAAAAACTTCCAATTTAAAATATGCTTTTTAGTCTTTCGCGTTTTGCAAATATCCGTGTCAGTTTTCGTATTTCTCGGGATTTGTTCGTAAGACATCAGAAAGGGGAATACAATTGCCCTCAATTTTACTCTCTGATTTCACTACAAAGGAGCATTAAATTTTACGCAATTTGAATATCTGATTTCCGTAAAGTCATTAAGATATTAACTATAAATTTATCCAAAACGTAGCTCTCAACTGTCTCGATTCTCTACATATACATTTGATTTTATAAGCGAGATTTGAATTATGTCTATTGAACAATTTCTGTTCGTTCTGTATTTATTAGATGTATAGTTTGCATCTCCAGTCGGTGCAGATTTTCGAGGTTGTGAGAGGCAGGGTGAGATTGGAACTTTGAATAACATGAACTGAACTGTTTTATAATATCTAGTTTTTACATAAAACGAGTCTTTAATGCTTATTAAATACAAGATTTTATAAGATAAAAAACAAAATGCAAAAAGAATTTTAGGGAAGTTATTGGGATTTATATAAACACAGATAAAAAAAACGCCGAAATGTCGGTCTTTTTCAATTTCATGTATAAATAATTAGAAATTCATTTTAATAAAGATTAAACCATACCTTAAACAAACAGTGGAGACTAAACTTTTCTTTTTTTTTTACATAGAAATTGATAACAGAAGTTATGTAAGACATCCAGGTCTCAAACATGAAGACAATGAAGGGTTATATTTCCACTTTATATGTTTATTTTTTCTTATTGAATATGACTTTTTAGGTTGCACTTTGTAAATACAGCTGTTTCACAAACCACGCCTCTTTTGGGGAGATATTTGATATTCATAGATATATTGTTCAGTTTAAGTATTGGTTCCCAGATATGATCTCTATGTTTCATCTCATAGAGAAACAACTTGGGAATATTACCAGTATAAAGACACATGGATAGTGGCCAAATTTAATTCTGATGAAGACCCAAAGTGAACGGAGGGGTAGTACAGAATTTAGTATAATTATAAACTATCATAAGTTCGAGGCATATAAATGTTTAAAATATGCCGCACAGTCCTATATTTTGACCTGTGAAAAAAATAGAAGTGCATATGAACTTTCCATTCTAGAATATGATTTTTACGACGTCTCATTGTAAAAGTGGCACAGTTTTAGACGTAAAAGGAGTTCCTATGGGAAATAGCATTGTCTATATTTCCACCTTTAATGTCATTGCACAAAGTCAAACACAATGATTTCAAAAATAATAAAAATCAAAATTCTTTTATTTGTTTAATAATAAAAAAGTTATTACATAACTAGTAAACATACTTCGTACTCTTTTACATAGTTAAAACATATTTTTTTGTTCAAAATGACAAATGGATCAGGCACAAGTTTTACAACTTAGTAACGTCTTCTCCAATACATGTAACACCTGCTTCATAAGAAATACGATATAGATAAACAAAGAAGGTGAATTTATATTTTTCGTCCTTTGTTTACAACACCACATCTAAATCAAATATTTACAATTAAAATATCAACGCGTCCTATAATTTCTACAACCATAGTATTTGTGTAGATTTACAATTGTACTTGATCACTATAATCATTTGTGTATAATATAACATCTTTATTATAACAAAATATTGCACAGTCTGAAGAATCATTAAGGTTCATGTGGACCTTTTGGCTAAAATGACTGCGTTTTCACCTTAAAATTTACTCCGAGTACAGACAAACCTGTGCATCTGAAAAAGTTTTAAAGTATAGCATGCCCTAGATAAATAAAATTCAAATGCATTGTATGTTTTAGAAAATTTAAACTTAACTGGATTTTGCAGTGCACTTTTTTTCGTCCCTGTAGAAGGTGATAAAATTAACAAACAGTTGAGTTTCACTTGATATGGTCCACTCAGGTACACGGTTTAAATCACCAATTATTGTCAGGTATCTATTGTCCACGTCAATCAATACAGTTCACTTCAATTATTACATGTGGGGAAGTTTTCACAACTTAGTTTATTTTGGCATCTTCTGGAAGAATGAAAAAAAGTGCACTGCAAAATCCTGTTAAGTTTTTAATTTTCTAAAACATAAAATATATTTGAATTTTTATTTATGTAGAGCATGCTATGCCTTAAAACTGTTCCAGATACTCAGGTTTGTCTGTACTCAGAGTAAATTTCGAGGTGAAAATGCAGCCATTTTAGCCAAAGGGTCCACATGAACCTTAACATTAGATACATTGACAACTCGTTTTTCTTCAATCACAAATTACATAAACTTAAATCATATTTACAATTAATACATTAATTCATTAAATACATGCATCATTATATAACATTTGTATTCAAATTTACATTATTGCATTCATAAGGAGATTGTGAGTGATATCGTAATTGATGTCAACGGACTAAAAAAAATGAACAGTGACTTTATTGTGATTATATACAACATAAATGAAAGGAAAACACATTAACCTTCTTTACAAACAGTAAGGAATCAAAGACGACATTGGTCCCAATTTTGTTCACATGGAAAGTGAGAAGAAACTTTAAGTCATATGATACATCATATTCAACAAAAAAATTGAAAATGTTTTATATACTTGAATGAAGTTTTATTATACAACGTGTACATGGACTTTTCTTTTAAATCCTTAATTCTATCAAAATCTTTTAAAAAATGTACTACTATGGAATCATTTACTTCCCATAATCTCATTCGCACACAGTTTTTCCGTATTTAGTGACCTTTACCATGGCATCTCTCGTTAGAAATATATTCAAACACACAGCGCAAATGCGAATGAAAAAATCGTAATGGACGATAAGATGAACAAAAGTGAAAAGAAGATACATGTAGTAACAATCGATTCAGAAAGAAAAAAAAAGATACACCAAAGCATTTAACAATAAAAAAATTAGATAAAGTATCAAGGTCAAAACAAGTAAACTTCGTCACAAAAACACGCAAGTTATATAACAGCCGAAGTTTTAGCTCAACAATCAATGAAAATAATATTGTTGGTCTATTATACGTTAAATATAAAAAAAAGTACACGAAGGACTTTTTTTTGGTATATATGCATGCCTTGGTTCAATAATGTGCTAAACATTATACTCACCAGAAACTCGACTCTATTGACTTTAATAAAGCACAAAAGCTTATGAAAAAAACAGAACCCAAGCCCCTTGATAAACAATACCCAAACCATTTAAATATGAAATATTAATAGATGAGTTACATATAAAATAAGTAAAATCAAGTGATAAGGAAATAAAATGTAATTTTATTAAATAAATCATTACAAGTGTAGGTGACAATTTCATTACGTTATCTCAAAACGATGCTGATTCAGTCAAAAACCTTTTATCCTACTTTTTAAAATCGAGATTTCTTGTTTGTATTTTTTCCTTTAACACTATTTTACATAAATGCATGATATTTAACTTAAATAGATATTTGTATGAATAGCTGCAGAAGATTCATATATATATATCCTCTCTATTGTTTATCAATCCGTACTGAGCTTCTGAATCTTTTTTATCTATCTTTTAATTCTCATTTGGTCCAAAAATTGTTTTAAATCGTTATTCTAAGTGAGATCAAAAGTTAATTTGTTATAATATGCTCAACATATATATACAATTTGATAATAAGCATCAATATCAATAATTTAATTTAAAGCCTTTTTAAAAAAACAACAAAAGGAATGTAAAACATGAATCAATATTTGTATCGGGAGTTGGTTAAAGTAAAAGTCCATTGCCATGGGAAGTATGCCCCTTATAAAAACTACAATTGCAAACAAATCATTTTACTCTATGAAACAAAAACATAAAAAAAAAATAACACTGAGAAGTTAGGACTAAATTACTTAACAAATTGAAATGTAAAAATTAACAGGAAATTATTACTTCAGGCAGACAATAGAAATAAACCTAAACTCAGTAGACATTTGTGATTATTTAAACCTAAACTCAGTAGACATTTGTGATTTTTTAAACCTGTATTTTTGGGGTCATTAAAAGTTTAATGCAGCAGCTTAATATGTTTGCATGGTATATACTTAATTATATGCAAATTATTTTGTGGAGCTAAAATATTAAATGTATCTTTATAATTCAACACATGTAGTCACTAAACAATTCAGTTTGGTAGGTGAAAAACATTTAAGATCTTCACGCATATCTATAATTTCTATTGAACATACAACCATGTAAAGATTAAAAAAACTGATCTGCTAAATACATTACTTCGCATCTTTGCCCCAGAAACAATATTTTGAAGAAAAACAAATCCTAAAAATGGATAACAACTTTATCGTCAATAGAAATTCGCATTACCTTAAATAACTGTCATACAAGCGAGAGGTTTCGTCAGCTTTAAAACCAGATTTAATCCACAATTTTCCACATAAGGACATGCCTGTACCAAGTCAGGAATATGATAGTTGTTTACCATTCGTTTGATGTATTTGAGTTTTTTATTTTGCCATTTGATAAGGGACTTTCCCTTTAAATTTTCCTAAGAGTTCGGTATTTTTACTTTTTACATCTTTTAGCTGTAAACGTTCGAGTACCTGCTTTGCCCTTAAAACATATAAAACAAAAACAAATGAAATATCATCTCGCTTCAGATTTCTTAATTCTTATATTTTAAAGCGAAATGTTGCTCTAGTAACATAAACAATTTGCGTCACTAGAAAACCAAATAAATTGGTCAAGTGATATATCATTGAAATGAGTCATGAAATCAGAGAAGTTGCGGGTTTGAATAAGAAAATAACAATGTGATACTATAGTTGTTTAAACATCAAGCGCACATATTACTATATAGAATAAGGTATGATATGGCCACTTGTACGCACATTGAATCGAAATTTAAACAGTATCATAAATCTGCCAAATAACATCCTTATTAGTCTGACAGATTTCAGTGTTATGAATTTTGTCCTACGAATTTGCATCAAGTCTTCACACTTCGTGATTTTTTACTAGTGCAAATCGTCAAAATCTGCCGAATTAGCCTCATTTTGGGTATTGTCATTATATGAGAAAAGATATCCAAACATATATTTTGAAAGTCTGTAATAATTTAACTTTTTTTGTAATTTAAGGGGCCAATTAATGGTTCGAATCATACCTCCTCCTTTTTGTGATTTTATATGGCATATTGTCAAATTAAGATTTAGGCATATTAAGGGTCTTATTTCTGAAAATGTATCGAACAGGAACGCTCAAACTAAAACAATCGAAAGCCAGGGATAGATGCGCATCTTATGCAGTAAAATTGGTACCGTTTATTTTATCATCATGTTGAAATGAGGAGAGTGATTGTTCCGCTGTCATTAAATAATTTGAAAAAATAAAAAGATGCAACAGTTCATTAAATCTGGCAGATATGCCCTATTTCTATCCAAACACTAAACAGATTATTGTTGAAACAAGTTTGTAACGAACAAAATATGGACGGATAGCAAAAACATTTTGTCTTCCCACAGATGTGGTTGAGACAAAAAAGATTATATTTCCGATAACTTTCTCACAACAATTAAATGCTTCTTACTACCTGACTGGAAAAGTGCCGTTAATATCGTTCTCGTGAATACATATATGCAATAACAAATGAAGCAATATTTCATTAATATTATTCGACACTAATGTCTTACTGAAAATTTAAAAAATGCACTTTGTATCTTAACTAGAAGACTCTCGTTAATAATATGAAACATAGCCTTCAATTTTTTATCATCACTAAAAGACAATTTAGGAGTCTCTAACTACATTATAAGTACTCCTCTTTGTGAATGCATCCTCTATTTCCAATCCAAACGCTCAAGTGTGGCATAAACTTATTTCACATATTATAATATGGATTTTATTACCATCCTTTAAACAATAGCTGTTGTTTACAAATAATTGTAATGGAATAAATTATTGCTGGCTTTTGGAGTTTACAAGTCAAGCTGCAAATTGTCTGTCAATTCAATCTGAAATACTTAATCAATCCTATCATACTTCTCATGATATGTCAAATTGACCACTTGATTCCTTCCTACACAGACTAATATTTACATATAGCAATATGCAGATGGCAATAGCAATTAAGGAAATACAAATAATTATTAATGATTTTAATTGATTCTCTCCGGAACTCTTCTTGTCTCCCTGCTTTTCTGCAAAAACAAAAAGAAAAATAAATCACTTAATCATAGTTTCAAAATTCATCAGTTTCATGTGATGAAGGTTATTCAAGAATAACATGTTACACACGATGCAAAAGCAAATTAGTATCATATGTTTTATAATTGGTATTTTTTGTTTTTATGCCCCACCTAGGGGCATTATGTTTTTCGGTCTGTGCGTCCGTTCGTCCGTCTTTCTCGCTTCAGGTTAAAGTTTTTGGTCGCTTCAGGTTAAAGTTTTTGGTCAAGGTAGTTTTTGATGAAGTTGAAGTCCAATCAACTTGAAACTTAGTATCATGTTTCCTATGATATGATCTTTCTCATTGCCACTCATGGGGCATCCGTGTATTATGGACACATTCTTGTAATAAGCTACATTTCAAATATCTTCGTTCAGTCAAGGTGTAATACCCCAAATCATAGTACGTCACATCCGGTTTCATACGAAAAAGGGTCGAAAAAATATTCCTTTGATTTTAACAGTTGTAGGAAAAGTAAAATCACAAAAATACTGAACTCCGAGGAAAATTCAAAAAGAAAAGTCCCTAATCAAATGGCAAAATCAAAAGCTCAAACACATCAAACGAATGGATAACAACTGTCATATTCCTGACTTGGTACAGGCATTTTTTTATGTAGAAAATGGTGGATTGAACCTGGTTTTATACCCTTCATTTCACTGCAAAAAAAAAAAAAGAATGTGTCCATAGTACACGGATGTCCCACTCGCACTATCATTTTCTACGTTCGGTGGACCATAAAATTGGAGTCAAAACTCTAATTTGGCATTAAAACTAGAAAGATCATATCATAGGGAACATGTGTACTAAGTTTCAAGTTGATTGGACTTCAACTTCATCAAAAATTACCTTGACCAAAAACTTTAACCTGAAGCGGGACAGACGGACGAACGGACGCACAGACCGAAAAACGTAATGCCCCTAGGTGGGGCATAAAAATCTGAGTCATTAAAATATATCTTGGGTGTTTAAAAGCACCATTTGTTTTTTATTTGCTGTTTCTATAAAATATTTTCATGTGACATGGTTATTTAAGCTTGTTAACAGGAAAAATGGGGTGAAAATGTGATTGGTTTTCTGTCGGTGATGGTAATTATCTTATATGCAATGAAATGTTATGTGAAATTTTCACTGTAGTACTGGACAGGATAAAACTTTACTCATGCCAAGTACTTCTTTATTTGAAACAAAGATAAATTCTGCACATTTTGAAAAGTTCCAATTTAACAAAGACTGATAGGGGAAATCAAGGGTGGTATTACTCCTCAACGGAAGTTATATGACGGTTCAGCCATTAGCAAATCTTCTGTACAAATGATTATTTTCCCAATAGTTGCAATTATATATGAAACTTGTTTACACCTGTAGGTTTAAATCATTAGTTGACTGCCCATTCGTACCCTTATCAATTAAAAAGGAACTCTGCCTTGCTGCGCATTGCCGGGGTTGTGGGTCATCAATTCATGTTCTCAAATCAGCTTTCATTTCTCTGAGTCGGTTTTGTACTTGATAATAATAATAATATACTAGTATTTAATTGTTTTATAACTTCATCTGTTTAAACTGCCTTCTGCATATTGAATTTTAAATTTATTTACACATAAAGAACGAAGTAAAAGGAGTATTAATGATAATAAGACAACATTCCAAAGACAAAATAAATGTGAAACAATTAAAAACAGAAAACCAACGGGCGTATTATAAACGGATAAAATGAGAAATAAGTACGCAGGACAGCAACCAACGATAACAAATGGATTACGGGCTGCTGGACTGAAACGATCACATATATAATGTAAACATGTCTTTCTCATCTCAGGATCCTGTAATTCAGTAGTTGTCTTTGGTTCATTTATGTCTTTTTTCTCGTATCAAAATTATATCGTTATAAATTAGGCCGCTACTTTTCTCATTTTATTTTTCACATTTTTCATTTCGGGGCTTTTATAGATGACTATATGGTATAAGTTGTTTTCATTGTTGAAGGCCGTACGATGACCTATAATTACTTATATCCACGTCATTTGAATTCTGGTGGATAGTTGTCGCATTGGCAATCATATTACATCTCCTTATTGTTATATTGTTAGCGCTAAATCCTTCTTCGAACATGCGACAGTCGTGTACGAGTACAACAATAGAACAAACTGTAAAAATCTGTTGAAAAGGGGCTACTAACCTGCCTCTACCATGAGGTCGTACTGTGCATGTTTTCTATCAAAAAGTGAACAATCTACGTGAAGTTCTGATGAATCTACAAAATTAGATTTAGAATATTATTTATGAACTAAGGATTGAATATGAAGCGAAATGGATTCTTAAAAAAAAGGTTATTTTATTTCCTCAACCTATTTATCATTCCTCAACCTATTTATCACATTTCATTGGAATACGATATGAACTTTGTATCATTCATTCTTACAACTAAGCATTAATAACATATGTTTACACTAATATGATCTGTTTGGTTCAACATATTTATTGTCGAAATGCGCATCTTGTGCAGTAAAATTGGTACCGTTTATGTTATTACTACCACTGGGTCAATACCTCTGCTGATGGATTTGTAGTCCCGAGGGTATCACCAGCCAAGTAGCTCATACTTCTGTACTGGCATGCAAAATACGGATATTGTGTTATGAAAACTTGCTGTTATAAAATTTTGGAAATTATCTTAAATTAAGGAATATATCTCCATCATGCAAAGCGCTGTTTAAATAAATGGTACCAATTTTACTGCACCAGATGCGCATTTCGACAATAAATGTTTCTTCAGTGATGCTCGAGGTCAAAATATTTGAAAATCCAAAGCTTATTAAAAAATGAGGAGGTTTTTATAAACCAAAAAGTATAGCCAAAGTCGGGCAAGGTATCAGAGCTTTGCATGAGGAATAATAAATAGTATATGAGAATAACTGAGAGATTGTAACATAAAATAAGTCTATAAATATTATTGTTTTGTTTAGTTAGTGTCAAGGTAGATAAATCTCGTTTGTATATTTGGAAAAAATCTGGATTGTTGACATAGAATATATGGTCAAGACATCTGCATGTATTATATTAAAACCAATTAAATGCTATTGTGTCATGTCTTTATGAAGTTAAAACAGTTTAACTATGATGTGTGACAGTACAGGATTAGCCTGGAATATTATCATTTGTCGACTTACCAGACAAAGTGCATTTGAAGGTATTCTCGCCATATGTGACCAAACAAGTATTATTATTACTGCTATTACACATGTCATAAGACGATGGAATGTCTGATTCAACTACTAGATGACAAATTCTTTTCTGAAATTATCAAATAAAACAAGAAAATATTAACGTGATAGATACTAGTACAAAAATGTTAAATTTAACTGGATAAAGGTCATTAATATGGTACTTGCAGTCATAATGGAAAAATTAACATAATTTAAATATCATCAGAATTTACAATACTTTTTTCTACTGTTGTATGCTCTTCTGTACATTTCCGTATTTTAGCGATTTCCCATATATAACCAATCCAGAGTAATGCTATTTATCAAATATGGGGATACTCATCATAATAAAACTTCTGAGTATTTGAGATTAAGCTTACCTTTCACAAAAAGAATTTTCAAGTTGCTTTCAGTAGAAATTTGTGAAGTTCTAGAACCTTTTCCTAATTTCTTTTGTGCTTTTACGTAGCCACAAAATAGAAAAATAATAAAACCGACTTGTGTTACTTACATTTATTTTTGTGCAATATTTTCCCTCCGTACCTGAAAAAAAAATTAGGTGAGAAAAATACAAGCCACTGTCTGAAGCTTCTTGATTGATCTAGTCTTAAATGAATAATATCAACGCATTATTTCAACTCTGTACCAAGAATTAATGAGTACTTTTAACAACTCATCAATGAAACATGCTTTAATTGATTTAAAACATCAAGAAAATACAAGCAAACAAACAAATCATTTGGCAAATCAAAGTTAAATTAAGAACCAATAATGAATTGTTCACAGAACAAATAAAGGTCTTTCTTCTTACCCAAATATATGATAAGATAAAATGCTTCGCTAGGCGCAGCTTGATACGACCGCAGAGGTCGAACCCTGAACAGTTGGGGCAAGTATGGACACAACATTCAAGCTTGATACAGCTCTGAATTTGGATTGTGATTAAATATTTGACACAGCATAGGTTTCTGACACAGAAAGAATGTGGTCTAAGAACTTCAATTTTTATTAATTTACCTATTATGGTCCAATGTCCAAAATCAAAATACATGGTTAGATTCAGCATATCAAAGAACCCCATATATTCAATTTTTGTTGAAATCAAACAAAGTTTAATTTTGGACCCCAACTTGGACAAACTTGAAAACTGGTCCCATAATAAAAAATCTAAACACATGTTTAGATTCAGCATATCAAAGTACCCGAAGAATTCAATTTTTGTTAAAATCAAACTAAGTTTAATTTTGGACCCTTTGGACCTTAATGTAGACAAATTTAAAAAACGGGACCCAAAATTAAAAATCTAAAAACACGGTTAGATTTGGCATATCAAAGAACCCCAATAATTCAATTTTTGATGAAATCAAACAAAGTTTAATTTTGGACCCTTTTGACCTCAATATGAACCAATTTGATAGCGGGCCCACAAATAAAAAATCTAAATACATGGTAAGATTCAGCATATCAAAGAACCCCATATATTCAATTTTTGTTGAAATCAAACAAAGTTTAATTTTGGACCCCAATTTGGACCAACTTGAAAACTGGGCCAAAAATCTAAAATCTAAATACATGTTTAGATTCAGCATATCAAAGAACCCCATATATTCAATTTTTGTTGAAATCAAACAAAGTTTAATTTTGGACCCCAACTTGGACCAACTTGAAAACTGGTCCCATAATCAAAAATCTAAACACATGTTTAGATTCAGCATATCAAAGAACCCCAAAAATTCAATTTTTGTTAAAATCAAACTAAGTTTAATTTTGGACCCTTTGGACCTTAATGTAGACCAATTTAAAAAACAGGACCCAAAATTAAAAATCTAAATACACGGTTAGATTTGGCATATCAAAGAACCCCAATAATTCAATTTTTTATGAAATCAAACAAAGTTTAATTGTGGACCCTTTTGACCTCAATATGAACCAATTTGATAGCGGGCCCACAAATAAAAAATCTAAATACATGGTAAGATTCAGCATATCAAAGAACCCCATATATTCATTTTTTGTTGAAATCAAACAAATTTTAATTTTGGACCCCAATTTGGACCAACTTGAAAACTGGGCCAAAAATCTAAAATCTAAATACATGTTTAGATTCAGCATATCAAAGAACCCCATATATTCAATTTTTGTTGAAATCAAACAAAGTTTAATTTTGGACCCCAACTTGGACCAACTTGAAAACTGGGCCCATAATCAAAAATCTAAACACATGTTTAGATTCAGCATATCAAAGAACCCTAAGAATTCAATTTTTTTTAAATCAAACTAAGTTTAATTTTGGACCCTTTGGACCTTAATGTAGACCAATTTAAAAAACGGGACCCAAAATTAAAAATCTAAATACACGGTTAGATTCGGCATATCAAAGAACCCCAATAATTCAATTTTTGATGAAATCAAACAAAGTTAAATTTTGGACCCTTTGGACCTTAATGTGGACCAATTTAAAAACGGGGCCCAAAATCCAAAAACTTAATACACGGTTAGATTCAGCATATTAAAGAACCCCATGAATTCAAGAATAAAACCCCATTGAAATTGATCAAGAAATAAGCAATTTATACGAAGTATCTTCTTTTGCACAATACTGTGCAATTGAATATTTCTTGCTATTGCGCAATACTGTACAATTGACAATTTCTTGCTATTGCGCAATATTGTGCTATTGGATATTTCTTGCTATTGCGCAATACTGTTAAATTGAAGATTTCTTGCTATTGCGCAATACTGTGCAATTGAAGATTTCTTGCTATTGTGCAATACTGTGCAATTGAAAATTTCTTGCTATTGCACAATACTTATTATATAATAATTTACACATCCTGTTTGGTGTGTATCTCCTACCATATCATTATTATTTCCTTTAAATATAAATCAGAAATAACCAACTTAAAATGGAAAATTTTAAAAGAAAAAAAAAAGGAATAAAAAGAAAAAAAAAAAAAAAAAAATCCCCCCCCCAATTTTTGAACCCCCTTATGATTCATCACCCCCAAACTCAATCCCAGCCTTCCCTTTGTGGTATGGTACCTTGCAGTACAATTTCAGAGAGATCCATACACTTGAACACAAGTTATTGTCTGGAAACTAGAAAAATGCTTATTTTTGGCCCCTTTTTGGCCCCCAATTCCTAAACATTTCGGGCAATTACCCCCAAACTCAATTCCAGCTTTCCCTTTGTGATATGGAACCTTGTAGTACAATTTCAGAAATATCCAAACACTTACACACAAGTTATTGTCATGAAACTAGAAAAATGCTTGTTTTTTGCCCCTTTTTTGGCCCCTAATTCCTAAAATTTTGAGGCAATTACCCCCAAAATCAATTACAGCCTTCCCTTTGTGATATGGAACCTTGTGGTACAATGTCAGAGAGATCCATACACTTACACACAAGTTATTGTCTGAAAGTTACAAAAATGCTTATTTTTGGCCCCTTTTTGGCCCCTAATTCCTTAACTGTTGGTACCATAACCCCCAAAATCAATCCCAACCTTCCTGTCGTGGTATTGAACCTTATGGTGAAATTTCATGGAGATCCATTCACTTAAACTAAAGTTAGAGTGCGAAAACCAATGTGTCTTCGGACGACGCCGGACGACGCCGGACGACGACGACGACGACGACGACGACGACGACGACGACGACGCCAACGTCATACCAGTATACGACCAAAAAATTTTTAATTTTTGCGGTCGTATAAAAAGGAGTAGGTCCAGAAAGACCCCTTTTTGGCCCCAAAAGATAGCAGTTTTTCAAAATTGTTAAAATGTAAACTTTTAGCTATTTATTGGAAAGTAGAATACTTCTGCTACATAAATATGGGCAGTATTTGACAATACAATGCATATATATCGGGTATTAGCATCATTAAGTCATGCTAAATTACTGAAATCTTCACAATTTTAGTATTTGGGTTAAATTTTAGACGATTTCCGTCTTAAATGGAAGTGGCCGCATTTGTGTTCATTCTTAATATTTAAATGCAAGTTGTATTTGATGATAATACATAACATATATAAAGGTTGATAGTGAACTCTGATGCGGCCACTTTCATTTTTGACAAAAACCATCTGAAAAGTGACATATTATGGCATACTTGATAGATTTTTCATATTTAAGCTTGCATCTGAGCTTCTTTAATGATAAATTCAGTTCAAATCTGTCACATAAACTAATTGAATCGACTGAAGAAGACACTTAAGTGTTTAAAAAGTGACCAAAATCTTTCATCAGATGAACCTGAAATTTGAGGCCAAAATCGACCCTTACCGGACCTACTCCTTTGGTGAAAAATAATACGTTCCGATTAAAAAAAAAAGGTCCATCGTAAGAAGATAATTTATTTCATACGGATTCCTTTTTTTTTATCTTTTATTGCATACTGATTCCTAAAAAGCAATAGACTTATGTACTCTTTACGTGAATTAATGGAGATAGTTAACAACGTCTGGTTTAAGAAAGTAATTTCCGGTTTCATTTGATAGGTTATTTCACAATTATTTCAAAAAGACATACGGTTTGTTTACTTTTTAGGATGAAATAAGTGAGATAATTTGCAACTTCAGGTTTAAAAATATCACTTCCAGTTTAACATGATACTTTACACCGATTCCAAAAAAAAAAAAAAGTAATGTTTCTAAGGGGCATTAATTACTCTTTTAAAAATAATTGATCGGCACTGATGTTCGAACTCGTTCAAGAAATTGCTAACATAAACCTATGATATAAGTTTCATAAAAATCTGGCAAGAACTGTACACGTGAGAGCGCTAACAAGACGGGACGGACGCACATGCAAAAGACCCTTTGGCTTTATTATCCACCATTATGAAGGTATAGCAAAGGTAAAATCCAAATTCAAGGTCATCGGTCATGGATCTCAAACCACACTGGAGACCATAGGTTTCGATTATGTATGGTTTAGAAGTTGCTCCAAATCATAAAGGGGTGAAGACTTTTACAAAAGTCACCTGAGCGAATGTATTAAATGTGCAACACCTAGAAACCAACAATTTGATAAAAAAAAAAATTGTCAATAACTTTTCATGTTTCTGAGGATTAGCGGTAATAAGCAAACTTCAAAATTAAAAGGTGTCCTTAACCTCAAATTCCTTTAGATGAACCAGAGACCTCAAATCAAAGGACCCTATGTCTCTATCACACTACGGTAAATGCATTTTTCTTAAATAACCCTTCTGTCACATACAGAAAGGGAAATAACTCTCATATAGAGTCTCCGGATCGCTTTAAACATGAACAGAATATCCTGAGGATATAACGAGCAAATTTAAAAAAAATCGTCGATTTCTTTTCGGTGGAGAAGGTGTATCGATAACAATATAAACATAACTTTCACAGGAAAAGTGTATGGTTACACATGGTCAACTGTAAAAGCGTATTTACTGTTCGATATTATGTGCCATATACTTCTCGATATCTTGCAAAACAAAACAAAAAAATCTCCATATCAAAAAGTGGCGGAAAAAAAATCAAAATCAAAACGGTTTCCTACAGGTAAGTGGAAAGACTTAAAAATTAAAAAAAATGTGTAAAAATATGGAATTAGAGAGTAACGATTAATAAGTAGAACCCTAACGAGATAAATCATAGGCAACGAGACATGTGCGTTGACAAACGCAGAAGCCATTAAAAAGATCATGGAAGACTATCATCGGTGCCAAATTATCTAGTGCAAGTAATTTACTGTATACCTACCACTCGAACAGTGACAATTGAGTTCCGTCGCCACAAAGCGATCAGGGCAGGTCTCACACTTTCCATTGTTTTGGCACGGGCAGTGCATTTTATCTCTGCATAAAGTGCCTGTAATTGAAATGAAATCGTTGTAAGCATAAAACATATCTTATGAATTAAATTTTATTTCATTTTCAGTTTATAACTTTAATTATACATGTAACCTTGTAGGGTAAACAATTAAAATACATTTAACTAGAACACACCCGCGGGTCCGTGACTGAATTGAAGTACCCATGCCTTTTTTTTTATAAATAAGAAGATGTGGTATGAGTGCTAATGAGACAACTCTCCACCAAAGCACAATGTATAAAAAGTAAACAACTAAAGGTCAAAGTATGGCCTTCAACACGGAACCTTGGCTCACACCGAACAGCAAGCTATAAAGGGTCCCAAAATGACTAGTGTAAAACAATTCAAACAGGAAAACCAATGGTCTTATTTATATAAAAAACGAGAAACACCTATGAACCACACCAACAAACGACAAACACTGAACAACAGGCTCCTGACTTAGAACAGGAGCATAAAAATGCAGCTTTAGCCTGGATTTTTAGTATTCGTATTGTCATATGATAAAGTCATGCTGATTATAAGGTGCACATTTTTCTCTGCTTTCAAAATCTTTCTGTTTGAACCCGTCCTGGTTTTCTTACTACAACCGGAAACTACTTGTGACATTACTATTGGTATCGGTATCGGATTTGACCCGTAAACTTGTTAATCATTAGTAATATTAATTAATTGGAAAACAAAAGGGCCTGGAATTGTGTAATTTTTACAGAGGATGACCTTGAGGTCACTCCGATGTATTGCTATCGCCTAAATTTCCATTATGCAAATTAGTTTTGGGATTTCAACCGATCTATAAAAATTATAGATCCGCGGTCATTACAAGGGAAAAAAGTGCATTTTTATACCTGCGATTCCGTTCTCCGTTCGTACGATGTTTCATCAAAAAATGGAATCATTTCAGTTGTTGATTTAGTACTGAAAATTTGACTGAATTATCTCCTTATTAAATACGGTTTTATATGTTTAATAGGTGTTTAAGAAAGAGGTCAGGTGCTCATGTTCATTCATAAAATTATCGTTCATTCATGAATTTATCGTAAAATCAAAATCACTACACAGGTCACACAGGTTGTATACGTAGTGTCAAAAGATTACCTGTATAGTATCTAAAAAATAGACAAACTTAACTGACTCCCCTCACTGTAGTGTGTGATAACATTTTGTGAGGGAATTCGATGTTTGCTATACCACTGTTCATTTCAACGCACTTTATGACGATACCACTTTAACAATATGAATGAAATTTTTTGCAGTGTTTTAAGAAATAATTTTACTTTAAAATCGCGTTTCATTTGTGAACTATTAAATGTTTTACAAGGACGAATTTTCTGTATAAAGTCAATAATTGTGTGAACTTTTGAAGCCCAAACTTTTTATAGCCTTAAATACGCTAATGAAAGATCCGAAAACTATACCCATACAGAACGACATGTTTTTGAAATTGTAGCAAAACTTTTGGTTGACAAATTTTAATTCGTTATTGCATAAATATTAACTTGAAATATCTGTCATTTTCTCCCTACCCAGTTTACCTCTATTACTCATTATGATGTGGACTTGACATTGTTATTGAATCTTATGCAATTTGATTGGATTAAGTTATTATTAGATTACCTTCAAACTGTTCATGCTTTTTCGTACGAGTATATTGATTAAAACAGAGCGTGCATGAATGTGTACAGAAAATTAAATGACCTGCAAACTGGACACTGGACCAGTCCATATTACGTTTTATCAATGAATAGATTTTTTTTTATTTCCCAAATTACAGGGCCCATAAAGGGCATAAAATCAGATACAATTGATTTACATAATTGGTAACAACAACAATAATAGCGGCATATAAATAGATATTTAGTATATAAGCATTGGTCAGAATCAGATGAACGAAACTTAAGGTATGAAAGGTAACAATTGCCACTTTTTATCTTTTCACATAATTTTCCACATACACATTAGATAAATTATTTTTGATAGCCTATTGCGGAGAAAAAAGAGAAAGTTTGCTGTATTAACGTTCTATTCCATTAAATACGCCATTTTTCGAAGATAAATGCAGAAAAACATTTATGAACGGCTACGCCAGGTAAAATTGTTGTTTATCCTAAAAAAAAATACAATTTTCAGTTTCATTAGAATATTATAATAATAATAAATCCCAAATTTATGTAGTCATTAGATAAAGTCCTTATATGTCCGATCTGCCTATTTTTGGACATCAAAAGACAATACGATCGTTTTAAGGTCAATTTCGTCTACCTCACACAATTTTGTTAGGCACTATAATGAAATGGACCTGAAATTTATTTCACATGTTTCCTGAAAATTGATAAATATCAAAGCAACATAGAGCTGTTTGTTCTAGTTCGTATAATGACAATTTAATGTCATGTTTGTTTGTGATGACCCCCCTTTTCGGGATTGCATCAGAATTATAGTTATCTCGTATCGCATGAGGATGACACATGTCAACTGAGCAATTATGTTTGGGACTTAGTTTTAAGAAATGATGTCAAAGTAACATTATGAAAATATTTTTAGTAAGCTGAAATATATATTTATTTTTTACATGTTTATGTCTTGTAAGATATTTTATTTCTGTCCCGTTTTTCAACATTTGCGTCTGGAAAGTTGAAATGTTTTAACTGAATGGTTAATTTAAATTAATTATGAAAATGGTTAAAATTAAATCAATAAAGGAAATTATTGCCCAGTTACAAACACTATCAGGGGATAATCCATAATGATTTTTTTTTTCAGTTATATGTTTCAGCACATGTATAATTAACCCCAACTTTAGCCTGGTAAACTTGTTGTCTCCTTGTAGAATATAAAACATATTTAAAATGATTTCCTGCTAAAGTCTTATATTGATATAAAGTTAAAACCGTCTTGCTTCTCAATAGTCAACACTCCTGTCCTGTCAGGTTTAATTCTTATTATATATATGGATGAAAAATAAAAGTCCACAAAACATTAACATGGCAGCAATTGCTTTTACTGCCTTTAAGGCTTTGATTTTTTTTTACAGAAGAGTGTCCACCATGCACTTGCATTACACTATAATAATAGTAGAATAGTATGATATACAAATAGATGAAAATTATATATACATGCAACCGTAATATTAATATGATATATAACAACAAACCAGTGTATTCTCTGGAACTATTATTATATTAGTATAATAGTCTAAGGTATACTGATTTGTATCACTACAATATAATAGTTATTACGGTGAGGTTGAATTTCCTGTCATTTATTCATCATCCAAGCACGAACTTGTATAAGAAAAAAAAATCTCTGTAAATTAACCTCAGTTTCAGGTATAGAGATGTGATCTGTTTCTGTGACATGTGCTTTTGACCATCCACAAGAACCTGCGGTCATCCGATGTTCAGTACTTCAGTACTTTGATTAATCATCATCATTATCGTATATTAGGTATATATACAGTTGAATTCTTTGAATCGTCGTTTTAACGTCATGCCGGCTAACAAATTGGACCTCGTTATTTTAGTAGTATAGATACTATCCTCCGATAAATTTAACTCGGACGCACTTTGTTTACGCGAAAGATTTATTAATTGATCACTAATTTTGCACGTATTCATTTTACATGTTACATATGAAAATATATAGATTCTTCAAAATCATGTACGCGCTTACGTCTAAAGTGTAAACAGTATTCTGCTTCGTAATTATATAACGTGTAAATATTGATCGTTTATCAAATAATAAAATTAACAGTACCAATGTTTCTGCACCAGATGCGCATTTCGACAATAAATGTTTCTTCAGTGATGCTCGAGGTCCAAATATTTAAAAATCCAAAGCTTATTAAAAAATAAGGAGGTTTTATTAACCAAAAAGTATAGCCAAAGTCGGGCAAGGTTTCAGAGCTTTGCATGAGGAAGATATATTCCTTAATTTAAAATAATTTCCAAAATTTTGTAACAGCAAATTTTAATAACATAAAATTCGCATTTTCATCCCAGTACCGAAGTACTCGCTAATGGGCTGGTGATACCCTCGGGTCTAACAGTCCACATGCAGAAGATTCGACCCAATGGTAGCAATAACATTAACGGTACCAATTTTTCTGCACCTGGTGCGCATTTCGACAATAAATGTTTCTTCGGTGACCACAGAAGTTATTTCATATTGAACTTTGTGTCTGATGGTCCGATGGTCTAACTTCTATCTAATTTTCTAACAAGTCTTTTTATAATATTAAACAATATCAAATATATGTTTATACGTGTAAAAATTATATATTTATCCTGATATTAATCAAGACATTTTCCAAAAATTTATCTGTACTTACATGTAACATGAATGAGCGCAAATGTTGGGATTTTTACAACCAAGAAAAGAAGACAAAGTATGGACAAAGTATGGAAAAACATATATCCAACCATCGATCTTCCTCACTTTAAAGGAAGGGAAAGAGATAGAGATTTTAGTTCACAACATATGTGTTTCGTCTACAGAAGACAATGCAACAACTATCCACCAGAGACAAAAATGTCAACGACTAGCTTTGCATGCAAAAGCCGAAGAGGAATACAAAATATATATACACAAACGATTACATAGTAATCCGATGATCTAGAGTAGTCTTTCAGTCAAAGAAAAAAAAAACAATGACTTACAGTTCTGTTTTCTATACAAGTCTTTAGTATGATGCTTGCACTGACTGTGTGTATCGCACAAGCAAAAGGGTGGTATGAACATGTCAGTAAAATTATGTGTATTTGGACAAGCAAACCAGTTCATTTTTGTGGCTGAAATATAAGTTATATGAAAGAAAATTATATATACGACATCCAGCGTTCATTATCGCGAAAAGATGACCAAACGTCATGTATATCTTACATTGTAAGTTGAAGTTTACTATTAAAAAACAGTAATCAACTCAATAATATTATAATCTTGTTTCATTAAAAAATTAAGCACATAACATATAAAAGAGGTGACAGAAATTTTCCGATCTTTCAAACTATAATTAAACTGATTTGTTACAAATTAACAAAGAGAAAAAAACTATCACTCATGAAGAAGAATACAAATTAAAATTCAAATCTAGATCTAAATCCGCAAAAACACGTCTCGATGCTGACACATCGTATCGCCCAATTCGTCATGGCGATCGTTTAACTTGTATAGTGTCGATCATCCTCATGAAAACTGCTGGTAAAGATTTTGTGTTAAGAGCAAGCATTTTGTGCAAATCCGTATAATGTGTGAATACAAGCGTGTAACTTCTTGGTGCAGGTATGTAAATGCCGAATTCTGGAGCTCGGTATTTATTACTATTGAGGAACAAGGATTGAAAATGTTAAAGAGGGGACTGACATTTGCCGTGTTAGATTCTAGTTTGAAGTTGTACACCTGTTTTGATTTCATGAAAAAGAGCTAGTATACGAAGTCGAGCTTCCCATTTAAGTATTTTCCTTAACTTTCATATACAAGATGACCTGGATAGAATACCTTATAAAGGTGGGTAATAATACACAAAATAATCATTTGAGTTCAAGAATGTGTTGCGGTTGACTTCAGTATACATCAGTACTGTATAGTCGTGAATTTTGTGATCCCGAGTAAGAGAGTTAACATGTTAATGCAGTTGCCTACACGCGTCCCTATTTAGGTGTACAGTAATGTAGAAATGTGAATGCAAAAATATTACCTCCAACAACTTTCTGAGGTTTACACAAGTGGTCAATGTCATCTGGAACTAAAAAGAAATTAATAGTATAACTAATAATATAAAAATAAGGAGATGTGATACATTTGCAAATGAGGAAAATAGGTAGGTGTTCATCCATATAACTTTTAATGTTTAGTATTTTTCATTATTATATACTTAGTAGTAAATTGTGTGTGTAATACAATTGATGACAATCGTAATGTATAAGCCATCCGTGATGATATCGATATCAGCCACGGTTGCAAAGGCTTTATCAAACCCCTAATCTGTATTACGTTACGTATTCGGTATCAGTCAGGGTTACAAAACTTTATCAAACCCCTAATATGTATTACGTCATATTATTAATCGAATACTTTTAAGGATTTGTGATTCGTTAAAACTTGATCACATGTACATTTGTATTTGCTCAGTTTGCACGCCAATACTGTTGTGTTTAGCTTTTCGTAGGTCAAAAACAGCACTTCGTCCTCAGTCCATATGCTTCTCTTAGGTCGATATAACCTCGTATCGACCTCATACAAAGGCTATAATTGTATAATGTCTCGTGAAAAATAGATAAGAGAGAGAGTATTTTGTACTTGAGGTACATGTATATAATAAACTGTATATGATATGGCTTTTTCGATATCACACACTGTATAAACCGTCAACCAATATAATACCTCGAGCAGAGCTCTTGGGTTATATTGGTGTCTCGGTTTGATACAGGTGTGATATTGAAAAAGCCATATAACATTCTCTATTTATATCACTACATTGCCTACCATTAAATGAAGATCTAAAAAAAATATAAAAACTAATCTCAGCATCCTTTAAAGAAAAATACGAAAACTACCACTTTCAATTATTATCAAATCTTAATTTTTGAATATTCAAACTAACAATATTTTTTTTAAATGTGTTCGACTAATAACTACTATTCTCTATAGTAACTTGCATTTCCCTGAAGCAGGTTATCTCAATTTCAGTTAAGTTTGTTTTTTTAATTCAACATCTTGCTCGTTATTTTTTGTCGTGTGGATTGAAGTCATATTGACCTAAATGAATGATTTTTTTATCCATGTTTATTATCTATTTTTTTACTTGGCAAACAACTTCACTTTTGACAGAATTAAAATGTTAAGTATCGGACGACACATATGTATAAGTGAAAGACATATGGACACTTTCACTGTAATTGTTTTGTTGAAAGCGGCAGAATTTGATGACAACATGTGAAATTTTAATACAAAAGAATCTAAACGATACACTGATTTTTATTGTACGTACGTTTATATCCAATAGTGTACTGTTTATTAGCCCACTAAAAGAGTTTAAACGAACGAGGTTTGTGATCCCATAAATTGTGAAACCCTACCCCATGTTTGTAACTAAGGAATTTTGGTTCCGATTGTAACTGTTTTGGAAATCTATGTTTTAATTTATTAAAAACATGTCTAGACTTGAGGTGATTTAAAGCCTAGTATATTGTATAGACACTTGTTAAGTATTGAAGAATATATTATTTTGACCTCTAAATGTCGTGAGTTTTTTTTTTTGTGTCGTTGGGTGATTGTCTCATTGGCGTATATATACATCATACCGATTCTTATTTTATTTACATAAACAATGTTTTGCAATATCTTTCAAATATACAAAATCAAAATGTAATTTACACGTTTGATGTTATTGCGAACATTTTGCATGTTTTTTTGTACAATTTTGCATAGACGGACATCCATAAAAGAATTGAATCAATCATAATCCAAAGGTGTATATGTACGAAAATGCATTGCCTTAGTTTGAGAAAAATAAAATCTATTATTTTTGTGAAATAAATACATGGACTGCAACTCTTTGAGCATCATGGTTACGAAATTGGTATTTATTAATATAAAATTAAGAGATGTGGCATGTGACTGACAATCTATTCACAAGAGAGCAAAGGTCGACGATATTTATCATTCAATTCAAAAACAAGCATAGCTGAATTTTATACAATCTATTTATGATGAGAAAATTCAGAAATGTTTTACTAATTTATAATTACTTCACAGCAAATCGGAAAAAAAATATTTATAGGAGACGATACGTACGGCTTTCTAAAAACTCAGATCTTGTATGGTGTATGCAGTAATTATCTGAAATAGAAAAAAATATTATCCAAAACTTACACAGAATTTTGCGAATATTATGTCTTATTCACTAATAAATATCAATTTGAATGTCGTCCTGGATATGCATGAAATATTTGCAACTGGACGTTAATCATACAATAATTAGTTAGAGAATTTCTATAAAAGCATGCAAAGCAAACCTTTGATCGACTTGCTTGCTATGTTTTTTTGGATGTTTGCAAACAATAGGTAGGGAGAGTTTCAGTATGTTTACTATATACTGGAATTTGATTGGACAATAAACATTACCTTCATTTCAAGGTTAAGTTCCACATTGTATGTTAATGTTTATTGTCAAATCAAATCCCAGTATATATTAAACAGACTGAAACTCCGCCTACTTATTGTTTGCAAACATCCAAACAAACACAGCAAACAAGTCGATCAAAGTTTTGCTTTGCATGCTTTTATAGAAAAGCTGTAAATAATTTGATAATAAATATATATTTCTTTAGATATCCGATTTCGCATCCATTGTAAAAGGACAATAACTCCTGTCAAGTACATTTATAATAGCCCCCATTACCACAGCAGAAACATTCATGATTGCATGTACTTTAAAGTTTAGAGCTGCATATTGCGTACATCAAATACATTTTTAAAGTTATGTCGATCAGGGAAGTCTTAAATGAAAAAGGATTATCAATACTCATCAGTTTCATAATATTTGTAATATATTTTTGGATATAAAATATTATAAATATCATCATTACTTGTTTTTTCTTGAATACATATTCTTTATTGCCCAGTAGTGTATGCTAACCAAATGAATAGAGTAATCCTTTTTTTAATATAAGCATATACTGTATATAATAGAACATTTGATCACAACTTATGATCGTCATTTTCATAACTTTATGTGTAAGCTCTTGAATATATCAGACTTAATGCTATTTTGAAAATATTGATTATTAAAAGCAGCAATCTTCTAAAGTCGTACTTATTCCAATCCGTATTTACTTAACAAAGTGTTCAGTTCACATGTATATGAACCTGCATGCTAAAAATATTTAAAAAAAATGTTGTTATCTTAGTATTTATACTCAGAAAGACAGGGGTATAAAGAGGTTGAAACAATATGGTGATTCTATTTTAGCATTCCAACGTATTGCCAAATATTACTTAGCTACCAATACTACGGTGTGAAAAGGCACGCACCTCTTTCAGGAGGCAGAACGTACTTCGAGCTAGCATTCAGAAACACAAGAGTTTTCTTTCATTCTTTGATATATGTATATGATATCTATTATTTGAAGTTGTGTTTCATCGTCTTTAAAACCAATATTCTCAGTCAAGTTATTCATCTGATCTTTTTTCTACATTTATTAAAATATAAAAAAGATGAAATAAGACAGATAAATTTCATGCGTCCGAATTTACTTTTCTAGATTTACATTCAGTTAAAACGCTAAAACTCAAATATTTGAAAGCAAGAGATGTATAAATACGTAGAAACGTTAGGAACGAAATGACCAAAAGGAATCTAAACGGAATTGCCAAATCAGCTAAGGTCAAGTTTGGAAGGCTTGGATACTCATAAAATCAATGAAACCCACACGACCGCTTACGTGTCTGCCCCAAATCAGAAACATCATTTGAAGCTCTCGTCGTTGTTTTCGTCAGGACTAGCGTTTGTGTTCATTTAGGAGTTTGGTCAGGTTCGATACACAACTTGACATGCATTCTTAACAATTATTTTATTATTGAGGACCAGTGTTGACCTGCAAAGATAATCTTTAGTAATTTATGTTCCTGAATTGTTGTCCTATGGATATCTCCCTTTTTCATAGTTTTGACATTCAATTTCAGCAAGCTGAATGTGCTACAGATGTAACATTTGAATAGTCTTGGCTTCTTACCTTCTTTATGCTTGGTTGTTTTATTTGAACTATGAGCTGATGTTACACCATTGTTTGAATCTTGAGTACTGTTATCTGATTTCGGTAAATCGATTAATACTGCTATCAACAATGCTACCACACAAATAAGCATGAAAACAACAACACACGGCAGCCACTGAAAACAAGTTTTTTTCTTTAATAATTAAATTATAAGACGTAAGCATTCCATAGAATACTGGCATTCGGCTAGTCAGATATCTCAAATAAAGAACAAATATGTATATTGTTTCTTTTCAGATAGTCAGATTAACACAATCAATGACAACAAAACATAATACATTCATATCTGGCTTCACCTTCTTAAACGACACAGTCTTAAGTCATTCTTTATTCTTTGAATCAAAAATAAACACAAAATGCATTATATTATTAGATACCGATTTTTCTGTGAAAATTTCACTGACATCAATTCGTGTGATGCACAGTTCATAATTCTATTGTGGTGTACGGGTGATCTGTCGTATAGGAGTTGTCCGTTGTTATTCTGTGGTTTACATGTTATAATGTAATATTATATTATTTATTTATGTATTTATCTGTCCTGAGTGTTCATGTGTTTATTTGTACTGTATTCCTGTCACGTAATGTTGTCTTTTAGCGGTATTTTTAACATTGCCATATAAGCGGGAGGTTTGGCTAGCCATAAAACCAGGTTCAACCCACCATTTTTTCTTAAAATGTCCTGTACCAAGTCGGGTATATGGCAGTTGTTATCAAATAATCCGTTTCTATGTATGTTGGCGTTTATTTTTGTAGCAGTTTAGTGTTTCTTTTGTTCTGTTGTTTTCCTCTTATAGTTGATGTGTTTCCCTCGGTTTTGGTTTGTGACCTGGATTTGTTTTCGCTTATTCGACTTATGACTATTGAACAGCGGTATACTACTGTTGCCTTTTCTATGTTTATGAACATAGAGAATACATTTCAGATGAAGCAGCAACTCCGTCAACAATGACTAATGGAATACTAAAAGTCCAACGAATTCGAAAACAAGTGACAAACAACTGGTGTTTATACTATATACAAAGCTCTAAATCGCCACTAAAATATGGCAAAAGCAACAATTAGTGAGACGGGAACATGAACATTTGACAGGATTTAACTAGTTTCTTTAGTATATAAATCCTCCCCCTTTTAATCTACATTACTGGACTGTTTATCAAAAGGTACAAAATAAATGACGTTATAATAGATAGTAATAAATCATGAAAACAAACAAATAAACAATAATTGTAAAAATATCGTATCAGAGACTGCATGCACTTTTTGAATGAAAGATCAAAGTATTTAACCTGCTTTTGATGAAAATTAATCATGGTAGTCATACAATTTAATATTTGTGACTGTACTCCATACTTGAAGTTTGGCTCTCACCGACATGTTTAACCCAACCATTCGTGACAGTTTGGATTGGTTCTAACCTCTCTTAAAATCTGCCAGAAACTGTTAGAACTGTTCTAGGCATGTCCTCGATATCTTGAGAAAAGTTTCTGACAAAAGCCTATCTACCCTAGAAATGTTTTGTTTTCTAAATCCTGGTATCTACTAGTATGTTAATTGAGTTTATATTGGACAGTTCTAACTTAGAACAATTGTGAACAGTGCTATCCAAGAACAGATTTTAACAGTTCTATCATAGAACAGATTCTAACAGTTTTTAACGGTTCTACGTTAGAACAGAGACTGACAGTACTATCTACGAACAGTTTTTTGCAGTTCTACCTTAGAACAAATTCTAACAGTTCTATCTCTAATCTGTTTTGAACAGTTCTATTTATAAACTCGTTTCTTCATCTATTTATTACTTGCATTCTATTTTCATCATTTTCGATAAAATATTGTAATATCCTAGTTACTGTCTAGAAATATTTAGTTCTTTCATTTTAAGAAATTATTCCTACTTTCGTTATCTTTTTTCATTCTTAGTTATGTGACCCGTTGTTATTAATTAGCGCATACAAAATTCACCAAATAATACGAAACCACATGCATAATTCTAAATCAGGTGAAATTAGGTAATGCACCATTCACAAAGAAAATGATTTTGCCATCCTGCAATTCAAATATTTCATCTGTATTATCATATACAAAAGAAGTATTATAAATCAATTTTAAACTTTGAGATATAAAAGAACTAGCATACACCCAAGTTTATAGAAGTATTCTAAACACAGAAGATGAAACCTGTAATGGTTTTTATTATTATTTTTAATCCTGATATCGAAAATATGTTTTACAGCGAAAACATGACTAAGAGCGGCTCTAACTTACGTATTTTAGAATTGTTTTACCCTACAACAAAAAATAAGAAAAGACGTATAAAGTTTGTCTAAAATTGATTAGAGAAACAGATTCCACCACAGCATTTTCGTGCAATACGACATTTCTCCACTCGCGACAGTTAAATTATATAAAAAAAAACAACAACAAAAAACACACACTTGTTAGTCCTTACGTTTTTAATTTGAAAATTTAACTGTTGGATAATTTAGATATATCGTATAACACTGGATGCAGAGGCCTATATTTCTTGGCGTACATAACACTTAAATCAAAGAAAATAAGGAAAATAAATATGTGTAAGAAAAACAAACCTTTTTCACTTTTTGACGACACCTGACAGTCTTGGAACGTGTGGTTGTTTGAATTTGTCTGACTGAATCGTCTAAAAGTTGGTGATCAGTACCTGATGTATCCATGACAGTAAGTTCTGACGTCATTTTTTTTTACCTGAAAAAAAATACTACTAAAATGTACATTGGCTATATAAGTATAGGAAGCTAGAAAGTAATTTCAATTCACAGGTACACAAACAGTTAAATAAAATGTTTATTGCAAACACGAAATTAAACACCTCAATTAATTTGAAAGGAGTCGTTCGAATATTGTTTAACATTATTCTAATTATTTTTTTCATTGTGTTTGTCTTATTACAAAATCAGCCGTGATCGTAAATAGTTTAATGGTGATTAACGTATGTTTACAAAATTATAATTAATTAACTTGTCACTTGACGAACACATTTTCTATACACACCAAGACAACATATAACATATACATGTAGTCGCATAGAACTGTTACACAAACATGGCAGTTGTGGACTGAATATGGGTTTCAAGAAAACACAGTTTTGGCCAAGACAGTCATTTAACTACGAATGATTGACCAATCAACGATACTATACCATATAAAGAATCGAAGTTTCTGAAAACAAGCTTAAAGTACATAAACTGATATTAGGAAATCATGCCGTACTGCTGCTGGACTCTTGTATCAGTTGCTGAACTCCAAAGAAAGTTTCGTGAAGCAACGTCGTAACACGATGTGTTGCAATGCATAAAACAAGATTTCAATGAAGAAAAACAAACGAAACATTTACTATTGCTTAAAACCACCAATAAGCGAGTTGTTGTTCATTCCAAAATATACAAGCCGCCATGATTGAACAATACTTTAACCATAACCTTTATCAATAAGTCTAGTAAGCCAAGAAGAAAGATTTGCAGAACAATTCCTCAACATGCAAGCTTTATCATATATGATTATTTGGTAGGGTTAAACTAGTTACACGTCTTCCTTTAATATCGATATGTCGATTAACAAATCGGTCATTGTTAATGTTTGATTTGATAAAAATGAGTTGAGGTGATTGAATTTCATTTGTGTATTGAAAAAACATTGGATCTGAATTAGCACTTTTAGTTCTATACCGTCTATGAACACATGCCTCTACTATTAATCTCTATATCTATGATAAAATTATGTAATAAGATTGTTAATCAATTTTTGATTTATGATATCTATGTCCTTGCTGTAAAAGTTTCATTTTGGAAATGATAATATTACGTTCATTTGAATCCGAAACATTAATGCATATACGAGCATTTAAAATTAATAGAAAAAAATCCTTTCCTTTAGAAGTAGTCGACTTAACATTATCACCAAAACATGAAAGGAAAAATAGGAAAGGAAAAGTACTCCCGTCGATCACATGTTTCTTTATGAAAATTACAATGAGCAATAATAATTTCAAGGTCTAAAAGAGAACATCGATCTTTTTTTTTTTATGTTGGATGTAGTAAGAATGAGTTTGTTGATAAACTTTCATTATTGTATTAGATATAAAACATCTAGATTGATTTCCAAAAATATATCGACTAGCTACCTCTAGGAATTGTTAGACATATCTTACAAGAGATATGTGTTGATATAAAAAAAAGATGTGTTACGATTGCCGATGAGACAACTCTCCACCAGAGACCAAATGACATAGAAGTTAAAAGCTATAGGTCATCGTACGACCTTCAACAATGAGCAAGACCAATACCTCATAGTCAGCTATAAAAGACCCAGGAATGACAAATGTAAAACAATTCAAACGAACGACAAAACTAATGGCCTGATTTATGTACAAAACAATGAAAGAAAAACATGATATGCAGCAGCAAACGACAATCACTGAATTACAGGCTCCTGACTTTGAACAGAATGTTGCGGGGTTAAACTTGTTTGTTTGCGCCAAACCCTCCCCTAACCTCGGATAGTGGTGTAAGAGTACAACATAAGAACAAACTATAAAAATATTTCTGAAATTTTATCATAAACACACTGCGATTCATAACAGGAAATGAATAAATTTGCAAATATTTGGGCACAATTAATCAAATAGGAATATCATTTGATTAACGGAATGTAATATTAAAAAAAATACCCCGAAAATGATAAAGAAATATCGAATGACTTCAATGTTTTGTAATTTCAAATAATGCATTTTTACAAGTTTTATTACTGTAAAAGGAAATATGACGACTGCGGTAGATATAATTACATCTAGATTTATTAAATATCATTTCAATAAATAGGAAAACATGTTATTGAGTGAATATTGTGAGGGTATTACCAGTGTCTGAGCAGAAAGTTGATGAGCCAGGGTTAGGTCAAACGTCCTTTTTCTAAAAAGGTTCATCGGAAGATACCAAGACCTTGTTGATAAATATTCCGTTTCAACTTCACAAATAATACATGATGGTCTTGAAGTATAGATTCTATGTACTGACGTTGTTTATCATCTTATTTACGTGTTATAGTGTTCTTTTATTTGTCTTTGTAAATCATTGACCTTTACTGTTTAGTCCATTTTTGGAAATATCCTTTTGGCGTGGCTCGGTACTTATGCATCCCGCCAATGCGTTGTTGTACTATGGTCATTTTATGTATTCTTGTCTTTCATTTTTGCTTATGTGCTTTGTCTATATGCCATTTTGTTTTTCTTTGTTGACATATTTTGTTTTATAAGGATTAAGATTATAACACAATGTTCACTGCTTTACCCATATTTTTGAAATTTTTACCTATTATGTCTGTTTGCTTTGTTCACACATTGTTGTCAATATAATGGAATTTTATGCGACTGTCATACAAGTGAGATGTTTAGCTAGCTATAAAACCAGGTTTAATCCGCCATTTTTCGCATAAGGAAATGCCTGTACCAAGTCGGGAATATAACAGTTGTTTTCCATTCGTTTGATATGTTTGAGCTTTTGATTTTGCCATTTGATAAGGGACTTTCCGATTTGAAGTTCGGTATTTTTGTTATTTTACTTTTTAGTATACTTAATAGGTAAAATATATCTGTCAATGGAGACAAGTTGAGCCTCACAGTTAATCATACGTGCTTATTCATGATTTTTGTATGCAGCTAATGATTGTGCACTAACATCAGAGATTATGAAAATTGCTCACTTAGAATAAAGGACGACGCACTGAAATAACAGTTTATGTAGGAGGACGATAACGACAATTCCATAAATTTAAATATATAAACTATCATAAAGCAACCCAAGGAAACATACATATATTCACACCCCCCCCCCCCCCCCCCCCCCCATCCTACCTTAAATATATATATATATATATATATATAAACAAGTCTAAATTGAAAAAAACGTTCTATCCTATGATTGCGTTGGATATATATATATGATCTCTAAAAGACATCATACGTTCGTCAACGATAGACAAGTGACTAATAATCATTACAATATATTTGGTCCGGGTACAGAGAAAGAGAACAAAAATGACAATATTTGGAAAATGTCTCCCTCGAATTCCTTTGTAACTCCAGAACTCTCACTGCGCGTATTGTTAATGTTATACATCGTTTCTTATTTATTTCCATCCGCCGTTATGTAGTTTTTCGTTTTCATCAAGGGCCTATATCCACCGAGTATGATATAAATAACATGCAAAAATAAGATTATCGAAACACTTGCCAATCGAACACTAACCAATGATGTGCTGAAGGTCCATCAATATAAAAGAGAGGCGAAAGAGAGCAAAAGACATTCAAACTCATAAGTCGAAAATAAACTGACAACGCCATGGTTAAAAAAGAAAAAAGACAAACAGACGAACATCAGTACACAAAACACAACATAGAAAACTAAAGACTGAGCAACACGAACCCCACCAAAAACTAGGGGTGATCTCAGGTGCTCCGGAAGGGTAAGTAGATCCTGCTCCACATGTGGCACCCGTCTTGTTGCTCATGTTAGTATTAACCCGGTAATAAGTCTGATTCGGTAGGTCACATTCGGGGAAAAGGGGACGGGATTGCAGGAACGACATTTGGACAAATACGCTATCATCTGTAAAACGGATATTCCATAACGGTCAACCAACTCGTGATGGCGTACGTAATATTTACGTAGGGATGATTTTAACTTCACCACTTAGATCTCTTGGTTTAAAAGCTTGCTTCCTTGTGAGCAGCAACCCTCTATCAAGGAAATCATGATATGAAATACCAGCCCTGGAATATCGTATCAACTGGGAGATATATACTCTGTATGCAGGCGTTGCTTGAAAGTTGGTACATTGAAATGGAAATTTCACAATTGGGAAGCTGAAATCATCTCTTTTGTCGTAAAGTTTTGTTTTCAACCGACCCTCATTGTCAATTTCTAGATGTAAGTCAAGATATGAGGCAGACTTAACTGTATCTGTTTTATCCTTAATCTCAAGTTCGATAGGATAGATGCATTCAAAATAGTCACCAAATTTTGAATTATTTAGTGAGAGAACATCATCTATATAGTGGAAAGTAAAGTTAAAGGATACTGCTAACTTCTTTTCTTTCTTCATAAGAAGTTCCTGTATGAAGTCAGCCTCATATGAATAAAAGAACAAGTCGACAAGAAGAGGGGCACAGTTGGTTCCCATGGGAATGCCGACTGTTTGTTCAAAAACACGTCCTCCAAACGTAACAAATATGTTGTCAATCATGAAATCAAGCATCTTCATAATGTCCGTTTCAGAGAACTTTTTGTTTGAACCAGAGTGATTCTTTTCAAAGTAGGATTTATCCCTCCCTAAGACAAGATACTTGTATCTACATTGGGCATTCTTTTTTATGAAACGAAACAGGACCAACTCTTCAAATTGTCTTTTAGTTTGGAATGTGTAAAGTGTAGAAAAGTCAAATATTTTAATACTATTGCAAGATGAAAGAGTTTTAGATTGTATGTACTCTAAAAGATCTTTGGAATTTTTTAGTATCCACATCTGATTCACGCCACCTCTAGAATATGTAGTTTTACAATAACTTGGAAGCCCGGCTTTGATTGCTGATAAAATTGAAGTTAATAATTTAGAAAGAGGTTTCGTGGAGCACTTGACAATTTTTTAGTATCCACATCTGATTCACACCACCTCTAGAATATGTAGTTTCA